ATATACAAAGAAGAAAACAAGAGGCTCGTCCAAGGCAGTTCGAGTATCATCCATCTAACTCTGGGCTAATGGCATTTGGAACTCTGGATGGAGAAGTAGTTGTTATCAACCATGAAAATGGGAATGTTGTCAGTTATATTCCTTCTACAGGGGCTATGAACAGTGTTCTTGGTCTCTGTTGGCTTAAGAAACATCCATCAAAAGTATGTGGTACCATACAGCATTTCTTCTTTAATTATCTACTTCTAGGGAATTTTATTTTTAATTATCTTAACAAATACATATATGTATATACACATGTATTATGCATATAATTATCTTGTTCAAGTAATGAAATGCCTGTTCCTGGTAGACAATCACTGATGGCTTTTTTGTCTTTGTTGAATAATCAGCTTGTTGCTGGTTCAGATAATGGTTGCTTGAAGTTGTTTGACATCAGTCGCATGCCACCAAGAGTTGCAAAGATCAGCCGAAGTGCAGATGTAGTAACATATGATGATTTCGAGCAATTGACTTCTGTTCATGTCAATTCAACCGATGATCAGTTTCTTGCTAGTGGATACTCGAAAAATGTTGCTCTCTATGATGTTAGTAGTGGAAAACGACTACAGTTGTTCACAAATCTGCATCAGGAACCCATCAACGTTGCTAAATTTGCTCACCACTCGCCATTCCTATTTGCCACTTCGTCGTTTGATAATCATGTGAAGATGTGGGATTTGAGACAAAAACCTACACAGCCTTGCTATACGGCTTCAAGCTCAAGAGGAAACGTGATGGTTTGCTTTTCTCCTGATGATCACTATTTGCTCGTCTCATCAATTGACAATGAGGTACCTGGATGTAGATTCTTCATACCAATACTGTAACATGCTGGATGAAATTTAGACAAATCGAGAAAATATCATGTCCTATTATCCATAGAAGCATCTTATAAACTTAATGATATAATCTTGGTATATACATAAAACTATAGGGTGATACATATTAAACTATCATTTATATATTTTAGAAATTGGATTGAACTGAGAAATATGTTTTTTATACGATGACTAATTTGTAATTATAACCTCCATGTTATTTACTTTGTAATAAGTTCCAATATATTTGCAATATTTTTCTCTAAATATTTGCCCATATGAGGTTGATCCAATCTGGAATCAATTCATAGGTATACTTTTTTTAATTACTCTCTCAAATTGGCCAAACTTGTTCTCCTTTGGTCAATGTTAATGAAACTGTTGCTTCTTTAGTTGGTTCAAGATGGTGAATAATTGTAAAAATGGTGTTAGGTCAAGCAACTTTATGCAGCAGATGGAAGGCTCCATACGAAGTTCGACATAACTTCAACAGGAAGTGCTCATAACTACACCCGATCATACTACATCAATGGAGGAGATTATATTATCAGTGGGAGTTGCGATGAGCATGCCGTTCACATATGCTGTACTCAAACTGGAAGGCGACTGAGGGATGTTTATTTGGAGGTTCGTCTCCTTTCATTGTCTTCTAAATGCCTCCTCTTGTTAAAACTGTGAGATATTTGTCACTTGATTGCAGGATAGGGAATCGGGAAATCCTATGTTCGTGCAGTCCTTACGGGGTGATCCTTTCAGGGTAAGATTTTTAGCTACAGTCTACATACATGGTGCATGTATAAGCTTAATAATTTTCTTGAATAATGAGCTTAGTCAACACCAAAAGAGAAAAAAAAAAAAAGAGAAACACAATTTAAAGTCCATATTTCTAGACTAATTTTCACAACAATACCAATTTTATCCGGTCCAAGGATAAATGAAAAAGATGACTATCTATGTTCAGTGATTATTTGTATTCATTGACTATTCATTGATAGAAAAATGACTAGTTATCTTTGGTGAAAGCAGCCATTTCACATGAGTGTTTTAGCAGCCTCCACACGTTTTCGCTCAAAGTGGGAGATCATGGAGGTAATCAACTATGATGTTTGTCATTTTACATAAAATCATTAAATTTCTTAGGCTATTATCTTTTAGGTATACATATATTCTCTCTCTAATTTTGAGTTATTTAATTTTGAACTTTTACGTGTTCGTGTTTAAAAGCTTAGACATGAGTAAACACCTAAAAAAGTGATAGTGTTGTATGACAAAAACCATATTGAGTTATTCAGAAGAGTAAACAAGTTAGGACCTTGTCTGCGCAGGTCAACTTGCTTGCTTCCAATCACCGAGCCGAGGAATACTCTTCTGGTCAAAATGTTCATTCTTCATACGGTATGGGAGGTTGATATCTCATTTTGTATGTACCATATATGTATAATTACATGTACATGTATCATGTATACCATATGTATATAACTACATGTTTTTCTATCTTACCCACTATATGTATAATTACACGGCCATATATGTATTTGGCATTGTAAGCAATCTTATAAAAAGCACATGACTATGTGATGTTCATCAATTCATGAAAAAGATTAGATGACTTGTAATCTGTTCATAGATTCATCAGGAACAGAGTTCGATATCTTTATTTATCCAGGTTAGGAGAACAGAGCATTTCATAGTTCATCATTGTTATGCTTTTCTTCTTTCTCGATTTCTGTTATCATGATTTGGATGATTTAAATAAAGAAATGATTGCCTTTTGTTTTATCAAGAAAAGATCATGCAAGTATAAAGGAAGTGAAGAGGTTCAAGACTACAAAGGAGATGATCCTTTTCTCCTTGTTTACTTCCCCCTCTTGAAGACATTCCTTGCTTTTCTGACAAAGCAGGCTAGCAAAGATATGCTCTTCTTCTCATCTCCTATATACCCCCCCCCCCCCCTACCTTTACCTATTTTCCAACCCCCAGAGACCCAATAGACAAATTTCATCTAACTGGATTAGAACGGAGTGTCTGCAAAATGGGTTCGTACATGAGTTTCATGGGAAAAGGTTTGCTCTATTTCTCTTGGGTTGCTAATTTCTTAACCTGATCATGGTTGACTTATTTATGTATTTATAGATTTTTAGTTAATTCTTATTCCAAGTTTTTGTACTAATCTTAAGCTATGTTTGAGTTCCTCTCAAGTTTTCTCTTTAACTCCTCGGAAATAAGATTTGAGTTCATAGTTTAAGAAATAAGCATTAGAGATTCTATTTAGATTTTAGTTTTTTTTTATCTTTCTAGATTAATGGGTATTTATATATTTATTTATTTCTGAAAATAAATAAGAATTGCAATTTTGTGAAATGTTAAAATTTTAAATTTTAGAAAAAAATTTATATTGAAAAATATTTTAATGTACCCAGTGAAGTTGAAATTTTAGATCTAAAGAACCTAAAGGAGTCTCGGTAGTTTAAGCAGAAAAGAAGTTGTAACGTAAATATATATTATTACCCCGAGTAATATATTATAACTGAAAGTTAATTTAAATGAAAGTGAAAAATAAATTGAAGGAACTGTAAAAAGTAAGTCATATATAAAATTACAGCATAAAATGATTTTAACTTAAAAATTTATATGTCATTCATGAATGATGTCCAGTCAAATGGCGATGAAAAGCAAACTAGGAGTTGGGATAACGGTGACTTTCAACGTGAACTGATGAATGATTGTTTACATTATCAGGGTTACCGTCAACGCAGATGTTAAATTTCTTAACGGCGTCACTCTACAGGCAATTCACAGAAAAAGAAATCAATACTTTCGATGACTTCCACATTGCTATTCTTGATATCCTCAAGTAAGAAAATGCAGAGCAATTAACTTTCATCTACAACATTCTGTAGGATCCACTCCCAACAAGACATAATAAATTATCAGAATCAAAAGATCTTAGATTCCAGTCTTTGTGTGTGTGTGTATATATATATGTATTATATGAAAAATTCCTTGGGAAATAATCTGATTCTTGCCTGTGAAAACACCATGTCCAGCAACTTTAACTCAGCTCTGCCGGGCAAACACTACGATGCCCCAACAAGAAAGGAAATTGAGGTGAGACCCTTTTAATATTTTTACTTCTTAAACCATACCAAAAAAAAAGGCGACATAAAATCAAGCACCTTGCAGGCATGTTTCAGAAAATGGAAAGAAGCTGAACAATCAGGAAAAAAGCAAGTTTTCATGGAATTCATGAAGAAGAGCATACAGCTGAGTAAGCTAGATAATACGACCATGATGACAGGAATAGCAACACCCCCGGCAGCCATGGCAGCCAAAAGAGCAGGAGAGAGTTTACCGCAGTTGAAGTTATTGAAGGTTGTACCTGATGTTATCTTTGTGCCATCGGCAACTGTCTTGGCTCTTGTTTCCACTAAGCTTTCCAGAAGGGTTTTCCTGGGAAATATAGCATCTTATAGTAATCTCACCTGATGCTGGCTTCCAATTTGAAACAATTATCCTGTGTTTGCTTTTACTTTTTTTAGTTTAAAGCTCAGCATTTGGTGAATTATTTCAATATTTAAAAGTCCATGCTTTTTATCTATGAAAGAATAGAACATATATATATCATCTGTGAATAAGTTCATTTGTTCCAAATGTAGCCTCAGATACAATATCATAATTGTATTCTTACAATAACTTAAAAAACTTATTAAACAAAGGCACATAGAAAGAAGAAAATGATGCAAATATATCACAAGTCAGATCTATCTTGTTGCTGGGACCAACTTAAAATATTAAACCAATCACCCAAATAAAACAGAAAGGCCTGTACCTAAAAGAACCCCAAGAAATGCAAAATAGATAGATACATAATGATCTCAATACTGTGTTGAAAGAGTAGCATTTACATATTGCAATAGAAATACTTTCCTTCTCTTTGCTTGAAAAATCAGCAGGAGCATTGTATCTCTTATGTGCAAAAGGAGAGAGTAGAGAAAATGTGGATCAGAATTAACAGCATGTACATATAATTCACAGCATTGATTATTCTACTTCTGGGGGGAAAACCATTTTCTTCAAACACCCTTATCCGGCTAACCTGAGGATTTCCGTCTCCATGGGCCTGATTTCCGCTTTCCCTGTTTCCTCTTCTTAGTGGGAACCCTAGACCGAGAAGGTGGAGAAACAGTCAGTATTTCCATTGATTCTTGTGGCTTCACAGTAAGCTGATTGATAACTCTTTCAAAATTGTGCAAATCTTCCTTCGTTGCCTGATGATGTAACGGAATTCCTTCCTCAGCCTGCTGATGTCATGTGATAGATGGTCAATTCCACTTGTCCCAAAGAAACAAAATAATGAAGCCTGTATTTGTTAATTAAGGAATGGTATGGAAGTTCAAACAATTGCATTTTTATTTTTGAAAATTGAATCACTGCAGAAGAATGTAAAAGAAATTTAATGCCTTTTCTTCTTCAACTGAGGTTATAAGACATGAAATGAAATTGCTATAATATTCACAGTTTGATGAGTTCCCAGACATCCAGGCAGAAGAAAGCACAAAGAGCACATAACGGAAGTCCCAAATTTGCACCATAGTACGAAATGAATAGAAAGAAAGATGCAACAGCAGACTAATTTCTTATTTTCTTCAACTCAGGTTTATTTTCAAACTCTCGGGATTCTTATCTCCAATAAGACATGAAATGGAAATGCTATAGCATTCATAGTTTGATAAGTTCCCAGACTGCCAGGCAGAAGAAAGGCACAAGGAGCACATGAAGGAAATTCCAAGTTTGCACCATTGTACGAAATAAATAAAGATGCAACAGTAAACTAATTTTTCAGCGACTACACTTTCAGGAAAATAAGATACACATAGGAAGGAAACTTTTTATTATTTCATGTTGATAATCAAGTACTTATTGTCTATAAGGGAGGAATTGTGGGCTTGGGAAGGTGTGCATTTAGATAGTAGATTGATTAAACTTATTCAATTGACCATTTTTTGGGTTCTTCGAAAAAAAGAGGAATTCTAAAACTTTTGAGGGTAAAGAGACAGATATGTATAGATTGAGAGATAAATAGATGCATTATTTTGGGTTTATTTTATTAAGACATGACATTATTAGTGATATGTATTTTAGGAATGTCATTGACTCTTTCACTACATTGCAAAGTTTTTGTAAATGAGTGATACCTCTGGTTTCGTGGTACCATGTTAATATATATTCTTCACACTTTTTATTTAAAAAAAAAAAAACAAGTACTTATTTGTTCTCGAGAAAAAGTGCCTACCAAATAAATGCTTTCATGCCTAGATCCTGCCATTGATAACAAAATCTATGGGAAACTAGTATCAGCAGCCACCATCTAAGTGGGTGGGTCCATGATTAAGGAGCAAGTTAGTGAAAAGTGCTCCCTACCAGTCAGTATAGCACTTCCCTACGGTCAGGACGGGGTGGGAGAGTTCACATGTTTTGGTTGCAGAAGAGGTCGTTCAACACCTCCATATGATGCACAAACACACAAAAAGAATTTATGTAGGTCTAGTATCAACTAATATTAGTCACCTATAAAATACAATTATGCCAAACTTAACAGTGATAGATATTTGAAAATAAATTTGTTCTTACATCCACAGGAAAATAATGCAATAGCAGAAAATAACTTACAGCTTCAGATGAAGCCCCTGCAAAACCTTGTCCTGTATTTCGGATCATCATATCAGGAAGAGGGGTCACCTCTCCATGACTTGAAACTGCACTTTCGGGCATCAAAATATCTCCAACGTTACCCTCAGATACATGCTGGGATGAGGTATAAAGAGATGTAACCGGCATTCTGTCTCCATTTTTGGGAGGAGATGCAGGATTTTGATCAGAACTGGTCAATGCATCACATGGTGCAAACCAGCTCAATTTATTAACGGAAGAGAACTTTCCAGGATATTCACTCAACACCTTATCCACTCGGCTCTTCAGTTTACGAGTTTCTGACTGTGCCATTTCAATCTTCCAAAGGATCTGATCCAAGTAACTATCACAATCTTTGAATTCAAGAAGCGATCCATGATGATTAACACCAATCTCATCATTTCCATTGATAGTCTTATGATCTGTAGAAATCATCACTGAAAAATTTGACAAGTTCTTTAGTTTTAAACAGAAGTAAAAAGTTCCTACAGATGTCAAAAGAATGTCAAAAGGATGACAATTTCCTTAGCTTAGCAGGCTTCTTCTGAGAAGCAACAGGGAGAACAATATTGTCAAATAACAATGTCAACAGATGCAGGAATCTTTTTTTTGTTTCGAGATAAAAAAGTAGGAAAATATAATAGAGTAGGCACCAAGGGGGTGCCGTCCATGTACAAAAGATTAACAAATCTAAGAGTATATTTACAATAAAACCAATATCATCAAGGTTACAAAGGTGATGTCCCAATAAGGTGGACCCAAAAAAGTGAAACCATTTGTCCTTGATGTTTACAAAAGAATCATCTTTGTCTTCAAAAGCACGGTTGTTTCTTTCTTTTCAAAGTATCCAAAAAATTGTGAGAGGGATAAGTCGATAGCTCTTGTTTCGTTTGAATAAAAATTCCCAAGCATTTAGTTCCCTTTGTCCAGTGCTCCAGCAAATGCCAAGCAGCCCCAAAACCATGGACCAAAGCCGATGGAAGAAAGAACAGTGTAGTAGGAGATGATTACAGGATTCGGCATCAATTTTACACAGGAAGCATCTATTAGCCAGAGTAATACCTTTTTCCATGAGGTTATCAAGAGTGAGAATCCTTTCCTTGGCAATTTCCCATGTGAAAAAAGAGACCCGCGGAGGGGCCGTGCTGTTCCATATCAATTTGGTGGGGAAATCCGGACATCTAATTCTGTTGTATGGAGTCAAATAATGGTAGAAGGATTTTACTGAGAATATACCATTGTTGGCAATATTCCAGAGAAGTTTGTCCTCATTATTGGCGAGTTTAATTGCAGATAAGAGTTAATAAGCTTTCATATTCAGCAATTTCCCAATCCTTCAAATTCCTAGAGACCGCGATATTCCAGCTACCACCATTTGCCCTGTCAAAAGCATTCTCAACCAACATCTTGTCTTTGGCAATTGCAAAAATGAGAGGGAATTGATGTTGAAAATCGGAAGAACCACACCATTTGTCAGTCCAGAATCTACATTTGTTTCCTCTGCCAACAGCCCAAGATGAGCAATCCAGTACCAAATTGTTGATGCAAGAGATGACTCTCCATAAGCTTTTTCCATAAGTGATATAGCTCCCTCTACGGTGTGGATAATTTCCATTGATGTTCCATTTGCAGTCAACAATTTTTTTCCACAAGTTGTCACCTTCATTCCAGAATCTCCAAATCCATTTGCCATGCAGGGCTTTATTCATAATGATCAGCGATCTGAGGCCGAGTCCCCCTCGATTTTTGGGTAGTTTTACATCCTCCCATTTTACAAGATGAAATTTTCTTCTATTTTCCTCACTGCCCCACAGAAAATTGCATTGAATTTTTTCTAATTTGTTAGCAACATTGGCCGGAATAGTGAGGACAGAGAGGTAGTATGTTGGGAGGTTGGCAAGTGTACTTTTTATGAGGGTGAGTCTCCCACCTTTGGAGAGGAATTTCCTCTTCTATATTGCAAGTTTTTTTAAAAAAATATTGGTGACAGTATCCCACAAAGCACTGTCTTTGTAGTTAGCACTGAGCGGGACTCCAAGATACTTAATAGGGAGCTGTGACACTTTGCAATTTAGTACCTGGGCTAATGCCACTGTAAAGGTGTTAAGACTCAAACCAACCATGCTCAGATTTAGCCAAATTGATGCGTAGACCGGACACCGCTTGGAAACAGAGAAGTATTCACCTTAAGTGAAGAAGAGTACTGATGTCTGGTTGGCAGAAAAGTAAAGTATCATCAGCGAAAAATAGATGCGAGATCTCCATCTTTCCCTCATGCCCGACTGTGATACCTTTGATAAGATTGAGTGTTCTGGCTTGCAATAGCAATTTATTCAAAGCTTCCATTGTTAAAATAAAAAGCAAAGGGGAGAGAAGGTCACCCTGTCTCAAACCTTTGGAGGCAGTGAAAAATGAAGGACCGCCATTTACCAAAACAGAAAAACTGGTAGAGGAAATGCAGGTTCTTATCCATCTCCTCCATTTGATTCTGTATCCAATTCTTTCGAGCATGTAGTCAATGAATTCTCAGCTGACATTATCAAAGGCTTTCTCCATATCCAATTTACATAAAAGTTCACTATTCTTAGTACGGGATAGATCATCGACCACCTTGTTTGCAATCATAATTGCGTCGGTGATTTGCCTTCCATCGATGAAAGCGTGCTGACTGTTACCAAATAATGCATTTGAGTGACTTGGAGAACCTTTTGGCCAATACCTTTGATAGTAGTTTGTAAACAGAACTAATTAAGCTAATTGACCTGAAATCAATGATACAATCGGCACCATCTTTCTTGGCAATCAAACCGATGAAAGTGGAGTTTAATGGTTTCACAAAAGAGCCATGCCTGTGGAAGTCATTGAAGAACTTAAGTACATCCGATTTAATTTCGTGCCAAAAATTCTGGAAAAATGTCATGTTGAAGCTGTCAGGGCTAGGGACTTTATCGTCATCACAATCCTTCAAGCAGGAAAAAATTTCCTCCTCGGTGAATTCAGCTTCCAGTATAGTAACCGCTCCGATTCCCCGATTTTGTCAAAACAAATATGATCCAACTTTGGCATGTCACATACATTTTCTGTGTAGAGGGATTGGAAATGTGATTTAGCAGCTTCTTGTAAAGCCTCGTTACCAGTGATGATTTTATTGTTGACCACAAAACTTTCTACGTAATTGGCTCTTCTTCGATGGTTGGCCAAACAGTGGAAGAATTTGGAGTTTTTATCACCCTCGCGGATCCATTTCTCCCTTGCTTTCTGTTTCCAAGAGATAGCTTCCCAATGCATTTTGTTAACTAGTTCCACTTTGAGTACGTTTCTTTTATCCCTGTCATCAAAGTTCAAACCCATTGTAGCCTCAAAGTGATCCAGGTCCACCAACTCATATAATAAATCATTAATCCGAGTCTGCTCCTTCAATCCCACCTCTTTGATCCAGATTTTGATTTCAGTTTTCAAATGGCGGAGTTTGGAGTTAAGACAGTAGCTTGCCGTCCCCTAAAAAACAACTTCCATCCAGACTTTGGAAACCATAGCTCTAAAGTTGTCCGTCTTTAACCATTTGTTGTCGAAATGGAATGGGACCGGTCCCCACCTGATACCACAGAAGCCAAACAAATTGGAAAATGATCAAAGAGAGGAGGGGGAATTACCTTTTGTTGCAGACCCGGAAGGGAGTGAAATAGATCAGAGGAAACAAGAAAATGGTCAATGCAGGAGAATGAAGGTACGTCCCTCTGGTTACTCCAGGTCCATTGTTCATCACTTAAAGGTAGGTCTTCCAAACCGAGATTGTCAATACACTTTGAATTCTTGAGATATGAGAGTCGAGAACTGGCTTCCCGATCTTTCACAGTGCCTAAAGACCATGTTGAAGTCACCACCAATCACACCATTCACACCCCACAACGCATGACAATGAGAAAGTTCTGCCCATAGGGAGTGTTCGTCATTGGCGCCTCAGCAATAAACACCTGTGAAGAACCATCATTCACTATTGTTTGTGTTTGAGAAGTGGCAAGACAGAGCAAAACCCCAGATGATGGTCAATGCAGGTCAAGATGTCCTTCCGCATGATCAGTATGCCACTCACTTTATTGTTAGCGGGTAGAGATAACCAGCCAATCTCTTTATAATTCCATAAGCTTTTCACCAAATAGTCATTGATTGAGTCAAGTTTTGATTCCTGGAAACAAACTAGATCAGGCTTCCATCGACTAAGGCAGCCCCTGATGATGTTCCTTTTCTTTGAATCATTCAGGCCTCTAACGTTCCACGAGATGATTTTATCAATCATAGATCAATGGCTAGAGAGTCCCCACAAACCTTATCGTGCCTCTGCTTACCGTCATAGTTGATCAGTCTTTTTAGTTCTCTGCAACCACTTGCTGTCATCTTCTTCTTCTTTTCAGATTCTGTCCCTTTTTTTTTCTTAAGCGTTCTTTTTTCAAGTTCAGCAAACAGAGCCATGGCCTGGAATTCATAGCGTTCGAAAGCGACACCCAACAATTTACTAACTCTAAGGATGTTTCTTCGCACCCATGAGGAGTAGAAAAACTTTGCTTCCATGTCATCAGGTAAAGATATATCTGATGGAGGGCTTGTGTTCAAAGGGCAGCTTTTAGGAACCCAAACCAGGTGTAGAATCAAAGTTTAACAAGAGAGTGTTGAGCACAATGGCGGGTTCGGCAACCGAAACAGGATAGATAGCTTGCTCAAGTGGGGAGGAAGCAGGGGCATCAGTAATTAGGGTTTCAGTTTGCGAGGGGTTTTGAGGAGAGTCTGAGTTTCGAGGGATTTTATCCATAAGTGGTTCCAGGTCAATGAATTTTATTCTAGTCGAGGATGTAGCAGCTTTCTTTTTAGGTCTCCATTGCCATAAGTTTGTTTGATGTTTGGACTTTGGACGGGCGAACAATTTAGAGGCCTCCTTGCTGGGTCCAATGTGATCAACCCATTTTCCTTTTTCCTCCCTCGAATATCTAGGTTTTTGCATAATGATGGGCTTAGTCTGGCCCGGTTTGGGGAAAACTCATTTCATGGGTTTCTGCAGTGGATGTGGACGCCTGCGAAATCCATTGCGGATTTGAAATTCAAAAGCCAAATTTTTTGGGGCCAGTGATGGGTCAGGAGTCTTCTTCATTGCTCGACTAGGGTTGATCGAGGAAGAAGCCAGGACATCAACGAACGACTTCTCAGGTAGAGTTGTGAGAACGATGCAGATACTGTACTAACATTTCGGGCAAAATAAGGAGAAGTGTGTGGGTTCAGCTTGGACCTGATGAGTACATGCATCTTCGAAGATAGGGG